TGTCGCCATGTCTAGTCATGCAATACTGGAATAGAAAAAAAACTAATGTGTACTCCTGGCATGTTACTAAACCGCTAAGAAATTGGATCCCCCTCCTGTAATAAATCTTCCAAGTTGAAATTAACTAGTTTCAACGACGTTATGTCGTTTAAAAATCTCGCATATCTTACTACATCCAACGTCTTCAAGCATATCTTACTGGTAAGCCTAAAGTGCCGTAGTCGCACGGCGTTGGGACCAATTTGTCTGCACAGGCATAAGCTGCATACTCTCTGGAACGCTACGTGTGTCCTGACCTATGTCAAAGCAAACCTGGAATGAGCCCATAGGCCCTTGACATAACCGTCAACCCAGACACCCCTATGCTATACCTGCTGTGTTACATAACCTTTCCTACTTAGTATCGACGTCCCTGAGAACCCAATTACGTTTGTTCGAGTTCCTAGTTGTAAAATCCGATAGGATAGTATAAAAGATTCTCAACTCAGACATGGGCTACAAAACTTTCCAGAAAATGGACGCCATCTGCATTCAGCTTGTTAGTGTGCGCGGTTGTGCTATACTAGAAATTGGAGATATTCTAAGCCTGAGTGCTGTTACATCAGACGTTCACAGATAAATACACTTTCACTGTACATGTATGATTGAAATTTCGTGTATTCAGGGTGCTGAGGTTCCAACCCCGCTCGGGAATGGGTTAGGAATTACATTCGTCCTTTCGGATGGAGACTGAAACTGAAACTGAAACTGGAGACGTAAGGTTGGTGGCCCCATGTTTGTGGGGAGCATTAGATGTCAAACCTCAAAAAAGAAGTCAACTCACTCACAATTACCTGTGAGGAAAAACGCACGCTGTGGCGAGGTCGCATTGCAATAAAAAGTGTCCTGCTCAATGCTTAATCTGAACTTGGCCACCTTTTTCATTACAATCTTTTAGTATTAGATGGCAGTTTTCATGAACTACACGAAAGTAAAAACATCGCGTCCTTGACCCCCTTTCGTAATCATGTATTGAAACTTTTTGATGAATGCTTGAATATGTGCCATAACGATTTCCTTATCGCATTTCTGGATATCGACAGTTATGTCACTGGAAGGAATATTTCCTTTTTTATCCATGAATTATATCTCATATCTCGACTTATTTCTGCTATCTGTGCCAAGCTGAATTTCTTCTTTTTTTGCGGTTATCTATGAATTAACTATAGGCTGTTTTGTGAACTCCTTGCCTGTGTTGACCAGCTTGAATATTGATCATCGCCACTTCCCCTGTGTAGGCAATCTTTGATCAACGTTTTTGTCATACTTGAATATTTTGTGTCAGCCGCCGTATAGCTGAAGCAATTCTTCATTTGTATTTCCGATTTTCAGAACAGAACTTTGACATTGTACAATATTGTAGAAAACAGGAAAAAAAACATTTTTACCACTGTTAGACAATCTGTAGTAAGAAATACAAGAAAATAACTTCGTAACCGTCGCTGCAGAAGCATCGTTGCCAAAACACGAATTCTCTCCAGTAATATGGACCAGCCGATAAGGTCAGCCTCCCGAGGTCACTACCTTCGATTTGCAACCGTACCGTCCAACTAGAGGTGGCCGTAGGGGGTCGCTGGCACGTCTGTCAAAATTCAGCTCACACACTTGTACTGGATTTCGGGGGCATAATACGGAACATCTGAGCAGGCTCGCAATGACCTTACGGGTATGTCGCTGGTAATGAATATCAAAAGAATGTTGTGAAGGGGTTTTGAACTCGCTCTGGGAAAGGTATGATTTTGAAGTCTCTGTCACACGTAGCCGAATATGGCATACCCACCACAAATTTTACTGTATGGATGTGTTGCTCCCTCTAATCCTTGTTGATCAGACAGATCGAATTTTTTATTCTTAAAAGACAGCATGTTAGATGTTAGTTGAATCTCTAATATTGCCGCTGCCATATATACGAAGTTTGCCCCATACATATGTTATGTACTTTGGGCGACTTTATTTATATAATGTATTTAGTTTTGTTCGATCTTATTGTTTAGTTGTACACCAAACGAAAGTTCTTGTACTTTCATCTAGTCAATGAAGAATCTGTAATCTGTATTATTAATTATTAGACATTAAAAATCGTATTTATCAGGTTCACCGTTGGCCTTTTACTGTTGTTTGATAATGTCCTCACTAATTGTACTTGTGACCAAGGGAGCCCTGAGAATACAATGTGGATGCTTTACTCCCTCAGCTGCATTTTTCAGTCAAATTGAATGTTATGACATTTACAGGCGGTTTCGTGGCGCATTATTCACCAAAACGATCCACGCCGTCTTCTGGGCAGAGAGACAAGCTATACCTATTTACGGGATCTAGTCGGGCATGTAACGTGATATTTTGCGGTCTGAAGGTGCCGGTAATTTTTCACGTCAACTGACGGAGATTTCGGACAAAATGGGCAGCTCGGCGTCATTGGTGGAATCGTATTCATCCCAACATTCCTTGCAATACATATTCCACAATACACAAGAAAACATTAGAACCTCTGACAATGTTTTTATTCTGAAAGCTTTAATTGAAAAATACATATCAAAAAAGAGGGGGAAACTACTTGGTTGCTTTGTCGATATGAAGAAGGCATTTGACAGGGGGTGGCGGGATGGCCTATTCTATAAACTATCAAATTATGGTATCTCTTGTCAATTTTTCAATGTACTACAATCCATGTACCTCGATATTAATTATGTAGTTAGACTTTAAATGGTTTGTCAAGTCCATTTGCCTCGACATGTGGAGTGAGACACGGTTGTATATATTGTGAATCGCCGAATAGAATTTCTCAAAAAGGCCTGAAACTACATAATTAATAGAAAATATGCTAGCTCATGAAGGTGACAGGAAATCCTGAAAGGTGAGATTTGATGACATTGTTTTACCTGTTTTTGCAAAGTTTGCAATGCGTAGGACTATTTAAACTCTAGCGTCTCCCCTACAGTGACGTCTGCCCTGGTGGTCCAACCCACCTCTGTGTAACCCCCAGTGGGCTGTAACACCGCCGCAACAGTTCACAACTGGGCCTAATGAACCGGAAAATCCGTCAGATGTGTGATGACCCAGTTGCGAGGATCAGGGCTGCATTTTCAGGAAAACATGGATGTCCCTCAGGTGATTGGATCATTAATCTTTATGACCCCATGTCAACCACGGAGCAAATAGTCCATTAAAGGGTCATTATGTAACATTTTTGCTAAAATAAAAAAAATAGTTTAATTGAAAAATGTTTGAGTGATTGTAATTTAATTCTCACCATATCTGTGCAATTATCTCACATTTCTGACATGTGAGATAATTGCGCAAATAAATATGTTAAAAAATAATTTAGTAAATATATTAACATGGCTGTGTTTCAAAGCTTTAAACACACTCCAAAGACGTCATATTTTGGCACCTTCACTGAATTCAAGTTAGCTTCTACGAAATTTAAGTTTTTGTGTCGACCTAATGTTACACAATGTTGCTTTAGGCGTTAAGCCGTTAACATAAAAGTGTGCAGACACTGACGTCAATTTACGTCATTAGCAAAATCACTAAACCTAATCTATAATCTATCTTTCTTGTCTTCACAAGCACACACACGCACACACACGCACGCACACACACACACACACACACCAATAACAATACCTCCACTTCTCATGGAGGTAAAAAGCCCCAACATTTTCCAATGCGTCAAGCCGTTTTCTAAAAGCGCCCCGTAGCTTCTGTGTTACTAAATTGCCGCGGAGCCGTGCGTCGCTCTGCAGAGCTTCCGTAGATGTGTATTCAAAGGCGGTTCTCCTTTCGTAAAATAGGCAATATGGGAGATAGCGAGGTTAAATCCGCTGCAGCATAAATTCTTCACCGACGTTGCGAATGCGTCTGGCGGATGCTAATTCCAAGAGAAACCGTGGGAATGGTAGTGGAGCCAAAATCTAATTCCAACTGTCGTTCCGGGTTCACCTTATGTGATTCTCCCATCTCTCCGCGCTGTAGTTTTATCGACTTGCTTGGACGGAGAAGGGTTTTTTTCGGGAACTATTGGGAGCAACATCAGGGGTGACCCGTGAGTCTCCAATTGCTTTGCCCTACCATTTTCGAGCAAGATGTTCCCTCCCTGACACGATTGTGGACGTAAATGAAGCCTTCATTTCACGCTGGCTTGCCATTCCCAAAGTCGGCGGCTTGGAGCAGATTCTCCGCGATGGAGTAGACGCCGTCACCAAAAGGCGTTTATGGACACTCGACTTCTTCCAATCTCCGCTCGCAATTTGGGCCTTCAAGGATCAGCGCCATCGGAACAAGGCCCCAGAGGCTGCCCATGTCGACTCGCTAAATTCGTCACCCGGATTAGTTCAAAGTTTTTTTTCTTCAATCGGAAGTCTGGTGATTTTTATTATCTTTTTTTAAGTTGTTTATATTTTTATGTGACCTGAAATGTTTCCCTTAATTCGTCACCCGGATTATTTCAAAGTTATCCCACTGCAATTGGATTTCTGGTGAACTTATCATCTTTTTCTTAGTTGTTTTCTTTTACGTGGCCTGGAATGTTGCCCTTAATTTGTCACTAAGGATACAAATTGAAGAGAAAAGCCGGGGCAGGGATGCTCGCCAGTTACCAAATGTTTCTCTACATATTAATGCCATTAGGGCCAAGTAGGTCGGAGAATGGAGGGGCGCGTAGGAGATGTGGGGTCGTACTAGACCTGCTGTGGTTCGCAGGCTGCATATCTGATGACTGGACAACAGTCGAGCAAGTCCGTGAGCTAAACCAGGACGAATGAGGAGTACTTTTATCTTGAATTTGAAACATTGCACTTTAAATAGCCCGTCACTGGGTGGCGCCATTCCCCACAGGCACCGCACCTTATAAATTGGGGCAAATTGCTTTTAAATGAAGTATGCGGAAAACCCATTCTCCTGCCCTTTCCATATGAGCACATTGCTCATTTTCTCCCGCCATAATCAATGCCCATAATTTTTCGCCGCGCGCGGGACGACATTAGGGACTCGGCGATGCGCAGAAAGGATCGATGGGATTTGAGCGAGATGCCCGGACGACCGAGAGCTCGCGTGGAGTTTACACTTGGGGGTTGTCGCCACGGCAGCGCAGCTTAAGCTTTCCTGCGCGCTGCCAACTTCGGTCAACGATTCGCAATCGCCTCAGTCGGTATTGAGTCTGGCGAACAACGCACGTAAGGAGGGAGAGCATGGAGGCGGCAGCGACAGACGTCTTCCCCCCCTGCCGGTACACACACGAGGCGGTGAGCGGCCGGTGGGCTGCTTGTAGACGCACGGAGAGACAGACTAGGCCCGTCGCAAGGATGTGGAGGAGGGCCTCCAACCGCCTGCGCCGATTGCTGCTTCTGTACGGCATCGCTTGGCTGCGGTTGCAAGGTAAGTGATACCAGGGTGGCCGTGCCCGCTGTAGCACATAATGGTCCGAAATGACAGGGCTTGTACATGATAACGGGACTTAGCTTCAGGTTAATTCCTAGACTAGCGTTCCCGGTTTCCGTCTGCACGGCGGTCTATAGCTGTGCCATACTGATGCATGTTGCCGGAACAGACAAAGGAATTCGATGCTTTACTTTCCAAACGCGTGCCGGTGGTGTATTTTACTGCCCTGTTTTCAGTCTGCGGATCAGATGGGAAGAAATAGAGCACGGAATGCCCAATGGCAGCCATTGATATTGGCGTACTCATTCTTTCCCTTTCATGCAACACGTATCAGGCGGTGCAAAGCCGCCTTTGTCGTGAGATCAAAACGTTAGCGGCGGTGGCCGGGCTACTGTATTCTCACGTCCGCGTTTTCCCCGGGGATAAATCCACACAAGGTGTCCGCTCTGAAGAATGGGGCGACGTGCTTCGATCTGGCAAACCTTGTTCGACCATTAACCCCGCCGCATGCCGCGATCGCGGAGATAAGCACGCGCGTGCCACGAACACACCTACGGGCTACGGTCTCCGCGAGCAGATATACGGCTCGCCTCTCAACATCAAACGGATATTGCTATTCGATCACTGCAGATAGCAAGCGCAGCAGTCTCGGGCCTCCCATATAATTCCCCCCACTGGATATACCGTAAGATGATTTGGTCGAGGGCTGTTAACGCTCCAGACGTACAGTATATCCTGCCGTAGCTACTGCCGCATTGCCATTCACATCATCCATTCACCTAGCCCGAGGGCCAGGACCTCCTTGTGCGCCAGAAAGAAAGACGGCATTAGAAAAGTGCGATAGGTTATTATGTATTGCGTGGCTGGATGTGATTTCCAACCGTGAGGGGTTATAACGGTGGTTAGCGTCGTCCATTAGGACTTTCTAGCCGGCAGATGTTGTGTAAGAGCTTTCTAAAGAGGACCATAGCATGAATGTGGATTGTATACAACCTGCGTACACCCCCTCAGGGTGACCTGAGACCACAACAAGGCGTCTCGTAAAGAAAATACGGCGGAAAAAATATGAAAGATTCGGAAGAAGCTTTCTAAACATTCTCACGTATTATGGTTGTAAACAACGTTAGCAGAGATACTACATTGATGCAGCATCCATACACCCCCTTAAACGATCCGAGACCACAACAAGGCGTCTCGGGGAAAGAGACGGCCATTAAGAAGACTCGAAAGGAGGTTTCTAAACAACCTTAGTATTCTAATTCTAAACAACCTTATCAGAAATGCGGCTTGTATACAAACTCCATACAACCCCTCAGGCATTCGGATACCACAAAAAGGCGTCTCTTGAAGAAAACATGGCCAAAAAATATGAAAGATTCGAAAAAAGCTTTCTAAACAACCAGGGCATTCTAAGAAACCGTAGTATAAATTCGACGCCCCCCCCCCCAGAAAAATATGAAAAATTCGAAAACGGCAGATGCTAAATATCCCGTGGTCTATTACGGCGCCCTTGGGCCTTGTCTACCGTTAGCTCCACGGGATATTAACGCAGTTTAATTTAGCCAGAAACGAGCCCGGTATTCACGCACCTCACCCTGAACCATGATGAATGGAGACACGCGATTCGGGGTCGGCATCGTTTGTGCCTCCGGTTATCCAGCCCCATCTCATCGACAAAAAGATTTGATTATTTCGATGTATTTCTCCACCAGCGTCTATCAGACTGGGGACCGTTAAGGGTTTTTATCCACCAAATTCATTTTGCAGCCGAGCTGCTCACATAATCGGATCACAATAAGCCTATGTTGGCTAATTAGGACAGCCAGAATCCTGCCGTGTCGTAAAATCGCTTGCAAAGTAGCGGGCGTCGGCTTGCAACGGCGTTATTGGTCGGCAGACATTTATTATTTATTTAACAGAATTATGTTGTCAAAGCCAAACGAAGTCTTCATATGTCAAGCCGCGGTAGTGTGGATTTAAACCTGCGGTTGGCTGGAAACAAAGTTCTAAAAGAAGGCAAAACAAAGATAACGGAAAAAGAAAATGGCGTCCATTTAGTCCCGGAGTTACCGCGAAACGGTATAAGTTAACGGCGTTATTCAACTCCCGGTGGGCACCTTGTGCGTTGGCGTTATCCCAGACAGTGATAATCTACTAAAAAGATGGAGGGGAGTCAATTGACTGGATCTGAATGTACACCATACCCATGGCCATGACAAATGTATAGGATAGCCATGTGTCAATCAAATCTGGGGTCCCCTAGAAGCAAGCTGACCCTTACCCTCGTAACGTTTCTGGCCTGACGTTATGATAAATTGCATTTATCGGACCCTGTCAAACTTGTCTGAATTTCTCACGTTGTGAGAAGCACCCCCGAGAGAGCGCTAGCGCCCGCATTATAAATTCTTACCACTTGAGGCACGATAATACAATTACAGATAATCACATGCTAATTTAGTTGATGATGCTTTGGCATGATAACACGCGACCTGATTCACTCATAACAGGGTCTCCCTCGCTGTGCTCCGCGGACACGGCTTTGCTGTATATTTTCTCGTCCAATGTTTATCCGCGGAGTTTCCGCATGGGATAAATAAACACGGCAAACCATGTCCACTTCCTGGTGGTCTAGATCCGCCATTTCCCTTTTCCTAACCGTGCACAACATCTTCTCTACCGCAGGGGTGCATGGAGAGATGGGCAACCCGGTTGAAGCCAAGGGTACCCAGGGTGACTCAATAACACTCCCCGGTGCAGTCAACATGGACGATGTCTTGTTTTTAACGTGGAGCAAAGTAGAGGGTTCTGGTCAGATTCGCATTGCCGTCTACATGTACAAGCCTAAGGGCGCCGGCGAGCAGTCCAATTCTTTAGGACCTTTGAAAGGACGGGCAGAGTTGACTGATAGAGGCTCTCTCAGGATAAAAGACCTGAAGCTTCGAGACGAGGGGATGTACGTACTAACAGCCCTGCTGGAGGGAGTCGGAACACAAGAGAGGACCGTGTCCCTGGAAGTCATAGGTAAGCAACAAACAATATTTTTACGTTAAAGGCATTCAATGCAATTTCAGGGCAGCAAGACTGGATATTAAAAGTCAATTTTCTGGTTATTCTTTCAGTGTAATAAGTTGAATCAGTCCTATCCCATAGTATACTTATATCTGTGTGGTACAAATGTGATGTCGCCGATGGAGTTGCTTGTTTTGTATCGTAGGCAAGCTATGTTATTTATGGTGGTAACCAAAAACTAGATAAGGAGGCGCCTCCTATGGCTTGTTTTGTGGCTATTCAAACGGCTCAAGTATGAAATAATGACGAAAATGTGCTAATAAAATGCAGTAAATGTCAATAGTAGAGAGATTTTATTTGTTTTGCTGCCCTGAAATTGCATCTTATTTAACGTATGAATCGTCAATATTACTTCTTCTACCGTGACAAACATTGTTAATCATGACTTACTGCCTCAAGTTGTTTGGTATCCAGCTATGGAACTCCGTTAATTTGATTGTGCTAGCCATATGTCGCGTAAAGTATATAATAACTGTTTCCGGATCCTTAAGTTCCCAAGAGGCAGAATTGCAAGCTCAATGTTTGTTCACCTCAAGACTAACAAATTATTTTTTTTTTAATTTTTAAAACAGAAGAAAAGAAATACATTCGATACCAGAGGCAGAAAATTATGTTATTCCTCCATCAAAAGACCATACAACATAAACAGCGTTATACAGCGTCTTTAAGATCTGAGTACCAATTTGGGATTTTTTCAATGTGTACAAATTATTGAGTGTTTAGTTTATGTGTATTGTTATGTTCTTACGTCTGTCTCTATTGATGTATTTTACCTTAAATATAGAAATCTATTCATGAATATATTTCAGCCATACGATATTGACTTGATACGTACACTGGATTATGAGACGTCTTGAATATGTATCCTATTTCCAATGGCTGAAAAGGCAAGAATCGTTGTAACAGGCTAGGATGATTAAATGATTAAATCTTCATTACAAAGAATGCGCCGTAATTGGCAATTTTCCAGAAGCTTAACAAGATCGCGCCAGCACACGTACTGTGTATGGATCCACTATGCAAATCTTAACTTAAAGGCAAAAATTGCAAGAAAGTATTGAACTGTGCCGAAGGTTGGACGGGTCGACTCGCCCTATTTAAGACTGTACAACAGTACGTTCCTTTCTTTCGTAGTTGGTTTAGGATATAGGCTACAAGGAAAAGGTGACCCAATGCACAGGCACGTTTTCCAGACTGCCCGTTTCTTTGCACCAACTCAAAAACGCCCCAGAAAAAATACCCAGAGATTTCCCACAGACGATAGCACGTTATGTGGAGCACTACCCTTCCGGCTAATTCAATCTGGGGTTTTGTTCACGCGAAGAAGTATGTTCGCGCTAGGCAAATAAATGAAATTACATATCTGGTGACTGGAGAATGAGGGGGTCCAAGATGGGGTTTTTAACTGTTTTAAGTTTCCGAAAATGTAGATATCAGAGTTTCTTTTCGGATTTTCATGATTAAACCCATGCGGAAGGTATATAAGTCATTGTTGCTGTAAGGATCTGGTTACAGCGAAAATGTCTAACATATGAAGGTTTAAAGTAATGAAGTTATATTACCCTCCTCTAAGCTAACTTACACTTAATAGATTTGCCAGTCGCTGTTAGGATTCAGTTGACTGATTTCACAAGTAATCTCGCCGCCAGATTAAGATGGATTACCCACTTTGCGGTAGGTTTTTATTTATTCATGATTATCATTATTTTCGCTGAGGTACCGAGCAAATATGCAAAGTACCCAAACCAAATGTCACAAGCAAAAGGCATGGCTCACCTAACTGTACCAGACGTTGGGATTTATGACCTTTCGTCTGGAAGCATGTTGAACGTCATGTTAACAGCGGAGCTCTCTTTTAGCACTATAATTTGCCCCCCTCCCCCTAAAATGTATGGCCTCATTGTGTGCGTGCACGAGACAAAATGGCTTTAAAGTAAGGTAGAGTACTGTAATTGCCCAATTATTGTGCTGTTCCTGCTGTTTTTACATCCGTATTTTTTGCTGTGACTTGATTACCCATGTCTGTCGAGCCTGCGTAATCATAGCTCTGTCAATCATGGGGGCATTGCTCTGTCATTTGAAAGTGGTGGGGAGGGGGGGGGCAAACCTTTTCTTCTTTTCGTCACAAAGGAAGTTTATTGCAAACCTTGTAGTGCAGGTATTTTGTATTTGATGACTCCATGGTATCGTTGTTAATTCAATTGGGAACAAAAGCGTTGACCAATTTGAGGGGAAATTCTATGAATCATTTGTTTGTTGCTCTGTCATTGGAAGGTGGTGGGGAGGGGGGCAAACAATATCTTCTTTCTGTACGAAGTAAGTTTGTGGCAAACCTTGTAGTGCAGGTATTTTGTATACTATGACTACATGGTACTGTTATACTGTAATATAAATGAATTAGACCAGAAGCGTTGACAAATCTAGGTGGAAATTCTGCCAACCATTTGTTGTTCACTGCTGTCTTTGAAAGGTGGTGCGGTGGGGGGGGGGCAAACATTATCTTCTCTTTGTCACAAAGGAAGTTTATTGCAAACCTTGTAGTGCACGTATTTTGTATTTGATGGCTCCATGGTATGGTTATATTGTGTTATGATTCAATTGGGAACAGAAGCGTTGACCAATTTGGCATGAACTTCGGTCAACCATTTGTTCATTGCCGCGTCTGTCATTTGAAGATGGTGATGGGGGAGGGGGGCAAACGTTTATCTTCTTTCTGTTAGGAGGTGTGTTTGTGCCAAATCTTGTATCTTTAATGACTATACCCGGATTGTTTATCCTGTGTTATAATCTAATTTGGGAACAGAAGCGTTGACCAGTTTGTGGGAAATTCTGTCAACCATCGTTTCATTCCTCCATCATGGGATGGTGGTGGGGAAGGGGGAATACATTTATATTAATTCTTCTTGCTACGGGTCATTTTGTGAGAAACCTTGTTTTTCGGGTATTGTGCCTTTGCTGGCTACATGGTACTGTTATACTGTGCTATAATTCAATATATGAACAGAAGCGTTGACCAATTTGTAGACAAATACTGTGGACCATTAGTTAATTTTAAAAAAATGGCAATCGTGTTTCTTCACTGTCTTACAAAATGAGCTAACTTTACGTTGCAGGTTTTGTACCCTTAATGGCTACACGCTGCGGTTATAATGTGTGATATAATTCAATTGAAAACAGAAGCGTCCACCAATTCGTGAGAGCGGTTGGCACGAGTCCCAACAAGTGTCAATATCCATGAGTGATATTTCCTACAGTGCATCGATAACTATTAGCAGTGGCGGTGCTGTGCAGTTATCGTTTGTCCCGAGCATTACATTTGTCATTACCTGGCCGTTAATGGACTCATCATGCAGGAAGCTGTTAGAAACTGTATTAGCTTCATTAAAATGACGGAGTTCTCCAGAAAGTGGCATTATGGAAAATGGCATTCTCAGGTGATTTGGGCAGAATTGGGTCCTAATGGCAAGTAGGGCGATTATACCACAAATCTCAGGCAATGCCAAGCACGGAAATTGTCTTTCATGTGTCGATGCTTTATTGCAAGGGCTAGTATGTATAGCCCGAACTATATCCCTGGCCGAACTATGCATTCAGGAAGTATTCGTACATTGCACGATATCCTACCTTTAACATGCATAAAGGTACGCTATAAAGGTACACTCAGAGGAAGATTTAAGATTTAAAGTTGGGATTTTGGTTTATGAAGTAATAACCAATGCAAATTAGAGAAAGAAGGAAGCAAATTTGGGATGAATATTTTGGAGGAAACGCTTAGCGTAACAAAAGTTGCTACTCAGAATAATACTGCACATTTATGTTGTACAATTTGATTTACCTTTAATGTCACACGTAAGATGGTACCGTCGGCAAGTATGTACGTTTCTAGATTGATTGATGGAGTTTTCATGTGCACCCGGAATGGAAAGTGTTACAATTTCGTGTGACTACGTCTCACTACCTCTGGGTACGGAGGTATTGTTTGAGGTGAGCTTGTGTGCGGTAAGGTTTTGTGTCCGTACACTTAAGTGACAGCCGTGGGTGGGAGAATTCCTTGACCATAGACCACAAAAGGTCAGACACAGGAAGGTAGGTCCCAAAAGCAGGAACCAGTTGGCCGTAGCTGTTTACTAGAGTTTTCTGCTGGTGAATCAGAAAATTAAAAAACATTGTGATCTTAGACCTAGTTGCCTATGGACTTGGGGTTAAAGATCATCGACATGGATGTCTCTAGGCATCTTTTGTGAGGTGCATAAATTAAGATAATGTCCAATTGTCCCTCACAGAGTAATGAAGCTATACATACTTAAAATCACCAAAAAAGTCACAAAAACTATACTCGTGCAAAACATTATAAGGTCAGTTTAGACTCCATACTGTAATATTCCTCGGAAAACAATCTGCTGTGGTTTGAGGGTTAGAGTGCTGAATTTCTCAGTGATGATTTATGATCTTCAAAAATCAAGATGGCCGATTACTGTAGTAATCTGCTTTATGAAACTCCGTGTATGTGGGTGTGCCCTTTATTGCCCTTGAGAGTTGCGTTCTCATTTACAGGTGGATCACAGTCTTGACCTGAACCTTGCGTGCTATTAGAACGCTTCTATTGTCCAACGCATCACGCCCAACATCTGTCACATCAGAGGGTAATTTCTCTGAACCTGCTCTTTGCACGGAACTCGCTTTCCGCTATTCCAATAGCCGATATTATTTTATACAGCAGTATTTAACGCTAATACATTGGCGTAATGTCGAACTGTGTTACTACTGGGTAATGGGGTGTAATCATGTTGTTTTATTATCGAGTAACTTATTGATTTAATTTGATTTAATTTACTACTGCCTTATATGTTAATAACGTACCGTTAAGTATCTTTGACTCTGTAAAAGCAATTAGCCTTCGGGCATGATTTTGCAAATAGAGATTATTAAATAACGTAAATTGTACAACAAGATATGACTACAAGTTCTTGTTTGTTCTTTTATAAAGAAACCATTTGATTGATTTCATGGATTCCTAGATCAGGGTGTAGCAGAGTGTTGCCAATTTTTCAAGTTTCACATTTGCTGACTTTCAATACAGATACTTGTACTACAAGAGATACCATGCATTATGTTTTGTTTTTATTTTTGGATAACGACAGGCTGTTTAAATGTTGCACTCCATCCTGACATGTATTACTTTACAATATGCATTGTATGCATGGATACTACAACTCATTGGGCACATATGAGCAATACTTGACGTATCATTCAAAGATGTGTTTTAAATATTAAATGGAATACCAGTACTAAGAGAAGGGGACAGGTTTCTTGAAAAAATGTAAAACGTAAACACTGTGGTAATTTTTGGCACGAAATTGGTCATAGCATAATATTGATTTGAACATCTATCTACCAAAAAGCGTCCGGATTATCTAGACAATACTTGTGGAATTTGGATAGTATGTTTAACTAATTGCAGCAGAATGCAATGAACATTCAGTAGGAGTTATATAACGATGCGAAATGCCTTTGGCACCCCCTAATCTTGAAATAGCCGTTTCTGTAATTATCTTCACTTATGGCTGCAAGCTGAAGCACGCATGGCCCCTCCCCGGAGTTTCTAGCTTTTCCCCACAGTCAGCATTCTTACCTTCTCCACTCTCCGGGCGATAACGTTAAGTACTCCTTAATTACTTCTGTATTCAGCGGAGCCCGCTTCCAACAGAAGAGTTCACGCGTGTATATCAGATGGTGCTAGCTGCCAGTTAATCCGTTCGCAGTCTGCCCGGGTATAATTACACTGGTGATGATATGCTCTATATGGCCTGACCTTTTCCACGGGCATGTCCCATCTTCAGGCTTTATGGTGCGACTCTCAGAAGTTTAATTACCAGTCTTTGCTTTATTACTTCGTTACATGGTTTGGGGGAGACATCGCTAGTTGTATCTGTCCGGTCTCAGCACCCCGGACCCCCGCGGGAAATGTGAAAGGTTGTTTAGGTGATCATTCCGCTTGGCATGCCTGGTAAGGTCAGCAAGCAACGCCCGGGTATGTGCGGAGTCGCTCCGACAAAGTAATTAATCTCATAGGGGTGAAATCCACGGGGTTACAAGGAAGATTTGGCTTGAATGTGCGATTTTTCCTACGTGACTAAAATTCTTTGTTGATAGGCTTGTCTAATAAAGTGTACTTTTTTTTTACTTCAATATGGACAAATGGAGTTAAAAGAAATAGTTGATTGAATGTGGGATTTTTCGCACGTGACTAAAATTCTTTGTTGGTAGACTTCAGTGTAGTGATCTATAGCTAGTTTGTTTACTTCAATATGGATACAAGGAGTTACAAGAAATATTTGGCTCGAATGTGCGATTTTTCCACGTGACTAAAAGTCCTATCTCGATATATAGACCATACTACTAATATTATCATGTTGTTAATTTTAATATGGACAACGTAAACTGACAGAAATATTACAATTTATTATTATTTTGCTACTTCCGATCCCATTCAGTTACGTAAATGATCGGTTTATTTAAGCTATTATTATTATTTAGATGTTTTTATTATTACTTTCAGCTGGACACATTGAGAGCTAGCTTTGCCATAGAGCACTGCAAAATGAGACATGGTAATTTAGCAAGGATCTCTCTATATATATTCAAATAGAAAAATGACGCAGCAGTGGAAGTGAACATAAAACTTTGCTAAAAGACGGCTTGCCTCCTAACATAAAATGTACATCAGTGTCTAAGAAAACAGCATAATGTCCAATTTTTGGAGACGTTCCTATAGCTATGGAAGCCCCCGAAGAGACATGTACTTAATATCCATTCAATTTAAACAAATAAAGGAATAAATGTGCCCATAGAGGTACATAAAAAACGCATCTAGACAGAATAGGTCCCACAAGTACACGTTAAACGGTATATTCTTTGAGCCTTAACCGGGAGAGATGTCACCCTTAACTAATCCCTTAAACCTACATGTGAGATAAATGATGATATAATCCCCGTCAAGTTCACATTCCATGTAATTCCCAACAGTTTCCAAACTCCATCTGAGAAAATAGCGGATCCAGATGTTTCCATGTCTCAATGAGTTATTACCTTCTACCCATCACGTTCTTTATTAATAGATACATTTGGATGTGAGACTAATATCCGCAATAAAGGGGCATTAATGGTGTATACCGTCAGGCGTACAGGGACCCTGTGGCATCTGGCGCAATATCAGACCCATACGGTCTACCCCCGGGTATGGCTTATGTCATAAAACCACTCAGCCTGATACGACTTTGATGCAATTTGGAAACAACAGCTGAAACTGTTGGTGCCAGCCTTCAAACGCATTGGAGCAGACATGACTGATGATATCTCTGCGTTGATCTTTGTCCTCCTTCATGTATGTTTCAGTGCCTCCCAAGTTGGAGCTGAATCCGCGACAGGACGTCTACGAGAGGAGGGGGAAGGCGGTCAAGCTAACCTGCACGTAGGTACAACCTTCTTAGCCCAAGCAAGAAAAGTTTTTAAAAAGGCACGGCCGGATGGCTTTACAACTTCATACCCACGTCCTTACATAAGGACAAACTGTGAACATTGTGTATATTTTTAACACAGACACGGGTCTTAGTAAACAAGAAATACTTAAAATTTGGCCGGATGCCAACATAGGAATAGCACGTAGGTACAACCTTTTTATTCCAAGTAAGAAATGTTTTCTAAAGGTGGCCGAGGGCCATACCTACACCCTTACACAATAAACAAAAAGTCGTCAGCACGTATATTTTTAACACAGACAGGTGTCTCAGTAAACAAAAAAAATCCTTTTAAAATTTGGCTGGGTGCTAATACAGGAATATCTGTTTGAGTGGTGTGAGTGCGAATGCGATGTGTGACTCAAATAATTGGTCAGATGGGTAAATTGAATGGGACTAATGCTAATAAGACTGGGCTTAGATGCACGATTCTAATATATCGTGAGCCCTTTCTAACGGAGAAATCCACCGCTTCTGTGAAGTCACGTTATGCAGATACGTGAACACGTGACTCGGTGAGCGGTGGGCCATACGTTGCAGGAAAGTTGCCTCTTCTGTCTATATCAAGGGAAGATTTTGAAGGCACCTAATATTCAATTTCAGTGTGAAAAATAAAATAAGAAATTGGTGATGAGGAAATCTACAATATTGACATTTATTTCCAGTTCTTGGTACGATTTCGTCATCGTTTAATAATAGAAGCGTTTGAAATAACCCTAAAACAACCTACGCAAGGGGTCCCATTTTGTACCATCATGAAATAGCTAGGACCAGAAACTTATGTTGGATACAATTATAGAGGATATTTCTCTCATTGCAAGCCTTGTATCACGCAATAATCATTCTCTCATTTGGCATTACATATTCCACAATATTGCGTTTATTCGACGAACTGAGAATTGAGAACGTTTTCCAACCTCCAGACGCCTCCTTGCCATCAATCTGAGTTGAAGTAGAGATTACATGACTGCCCAGTCCGGTTACAGTCACTCTTTCTCTTTTGTCAGGGCGTTCTTCCGAGGGACACATTACGGCTCCATAATAGAATCACCTTGTCCCCGAGGAATTTCAATCGAACAATATTGATGCCTCAACGGAGTTCAAATTGCATCGCGCGAATCGATAGAGCGCGACCTGGGGTGCACCGTCTTCCTCAGCTAGTAATTACCCGCTAATGCGAAACAACCCCAACCTGGCACCGGCGTGGGTAACATTTTCTCATTACGTAGTCCATGAATTTAACTCTAGGAGTGGGTAATCAGAAAGTGTGTGGCGCCGCCCGTCAACCAGAGAGGAAAACAGCTGAAACTAGCTAGTTGAATGCGAAACAACCCCAACCTGGCACCGGCGTGGGTAACATTTTCTCATTACGTAGTCCATGAATTTAACTCTAGGAGTGGGTAATCAAAAAGTGCGTGGCGTCCCCCGTCAACCAGACAGGAAAACAGCTGAAACTAGCTAGTTGGATGCAAAACAACCCCAACCTGGCAGCCGTTGGTAACTTTCTTTTATTACGTAGTCCGTGATTTTAACTCTTGGAGAAGGCAATCAAAAAGTGTGTGGCGTCCCCCGTCAACCACAAAGGTAAACATTTCCCGCCACTGAAGCTAGCTAGTTGATATTAATGCTATGTTTTAACAAAACACCACCATTTGGCGCTTACCAGTCCTCAAAGGAAGGTTTTAGAGCTGCAGCAGAGGCGACAACAAAATGTGAGCTGGGGTCAGAAAACAGCAATAACCAAGGATTGCCGGCTACATTAAAAGAAACATCAAAGAGGAAGCAAATCGTATAAAGGGCTGCCACTTTACTTTCTTATTCACAAACGACACGTTAAAGTGTAGGCTGCGCCTCGTAAGGTTGATGTAGTGAATTTTAGTTGAGGATTTTTAAGTCTGAAGGATCAAACGCAGCTTTACATGGGCTGACCTGTAACTGTAAAAAAACGGAATGGGAAATCACAGTTATGACACAACTGGAAAAAGCTGTCTTTATAGAAGCAATTTTCAAGATACATTTTACTACCAAGAAACACGCAAAAATGCAAATATTTTACGACAAAGATTACTTAGATAGGCATGAGCTTGCCTCCAACATGCACGTGGATATGAAATAATAATGCATGTGGCCTTGGTTTGCATACAGCCTTTGATTAGCGGTAGTGATTATCTTTGCACGATGAAGAACCATTAGTACCAACTAAATAATTATATCAGATTTGGATCGCGAAAGTCAAGACCACCAATGTAAGACCACCGCTTTCCTAACTATGTATCCCCCTGCCCTGTATGGTGTTATTTACTAATCGGTTGCATTATCGGCTAGGATTTGATTCAAAGGAGGAGTATCGCATCTACGTCAAAGTCCCAATGATGTGATATTGTCCATGAACATGTATGGGACGCCCTGTGCACCCATGTGTGAACACAGCCTCCTCTGGCACGGACGTAGCTACTCCCCCAAAACTAGAATATTTCATCAACCCCCACCGGGCATCTCAATAATTGGGAGAAATAAGTCGTTAAAAGTTCTGGCGATGTGTAAGCGAGTTGATTCATTCGCTTATTACACCACTGAAGACAATTATCGGAGATAATTGCTTCTAACTGATTCATTTTGTGGGTTGGGCACGCTTGTGTAGCCATGTGGGACCGGGCGGCAGAGGGTTCGACCTTCCCGCTGAGTTGTGGATGTACTTCGGGGTCAGAGGGAAATATCAAACGATCTAACAACGCTGGTCATGTATGGAGAGACGACAACATTTCGGGAGCTGACCTCAACTCTTGTACTTTCCTGTTGAGATAGAATCCAAATCAGCAATAAGCTGATTTAAATCCTTGTTACGCATAGCCGAATA